TGCTATCCTGTGTTCAAGTGACTAAACGTTTCAACCTAGGGAGCCCTGCTATCCTGTGTTTAATCCTCAAAATTCTTTACAACCAAGACATGTATAATAGAGTAATTCTTCTTTTATTTAATGAAAAACAACTTTGATTTGTAAGTTAATGCAGCAATAGCTGTATCTTCTTTCTCTGATTTTAATAAAACATTTCCTGTGTCATTTGTACCAATTTGTAAAGGTCATCACCAAGATGTGGACTAGCATAACATATACGTTATATACTAACATTGTACATTAAATCATGTGCAAGTGGTAAAACATGACTGTGGGGTTGCGTCCTGGTTGAAATCCAGCGAATCTCAGTTATTACAGACAAGATGACAACTTACCTAGGGCTCTGAACAATATGTACCCATCACAGAACATATTTCAATGAAATGGCGACTACTCTTCCCTTCATTTTCACATTTCACAGGACATATCTCATGCTTGAACGTATTAACTTTAAACTTCAAACATACATCAGACATTATATTGGACGTATGCACATGCTTTCTTTCTTAATACGATTCAAGATGGCCCAATGGCAGCCATTTTAAGGCCAAAAATGCATCAAAATAGTATATTTCCACTATTCTATAACCAAATCATGTGTGGATGGATTTGGTTTAAACTTAGTAACTTACATCAAACACAATGGAAACTTGATGTACATCATTTTATTTTTTGGATCAAATTCAAAATAGCTCGACTGGCGGCCATTTTGATTCAAGGAATGCAGATAGTGATAGTGAAATTGAATACCAGCGAAAATTAATACCTTTACCATAACTAGTAAATGTCTTCATGAAATTTAAATTACTATTAAATTTAAGACGAATCTTAAAAAAAAGCTTTCCTTTTAAACATATGATAAAAACAAAAAAATTACTGCTAGAAAACATATTCCGTAATACGCTGTATCGCATATTGACAGAGTGAGTCATAATACTTAATGCATCACTTCACTTTCATCTGACCGGGTAATTCAGAATTGAATCGTC